CCCATGGCTACCTCACTGCAGATTAGCAAACTAGAAATATGGATTCCCACTGGACTCCATCAAGTTTCCCAATTCACTAGAATTATTCACATAAATCAAGAAAGCTCTATATTCACAATCACAATTTTATTACAACAAAACATCAAAATCAGAACCAGTCAAGGAGACAGACATGGAATAGGATCTTGGCCTTCAAAGGTTCCAAATGCTTTGAATCCCTGTCCTCAGGGATGCAGTGTCCATAAGGCATCAATTGTGGCAATTCTTAGGTGGGGTCTTGCAACCCAAGCAGATAGCACAGTCTTTATGTACAGAGTTATAAGTGGAATTTTATTATGTAGGCATGATGGATTTAATTGTTGCTCACATATTTTAACTCAGTCTTCAGCTGTCCCCGTGCCTGGAAGGAAGGCAGATTGATACCACAATTCGAAATACCAGCCTTCCAATCATATGATGCCATTTCACTCAGGGTTAGTAGCTGTCCTAAGAATATCAGTGTGACCATTCCCAGTCTGAGTCACCTCATTGGCCTGAACTAACAGGAATGGCATCAGATTCATAGGTTTACATAACTGTGCATGAACTTGAGACAGATGCCAATGGAAGTATGTATTATTTACCCTCTCACCATGACCTCTCCACACACACAGTGATGCTCACTTTCATTCTTCTATTGTCCCCCAGCCTCATTTTTTGATTATCTCTAGCACTTACTGTCTAATGTAATATATATTTCTTTGTTGAAACACTTTATTGTCTATCTTCCCCATAGAATAAAATCTACAAAAAGCAAAAAAAAATTTATTCTGTCTGTTGAATCTCCTGTAGTTCAAATACATCTGACATAGTACATACTGGATAAATATTGATTCAATGAATAAATTTATTTTATAAAATCAAATTGTCTCATAGTCCCTCTACTCATTAAATTAAAATAGAATTTTATTTAAGTGTGACATGACATGGAATATGAAACTGAATGTTTCATATTTAAGAAATTGTCTAATATAAATAATCTCCTGTCAGACTTCTTATGATAATGATATAATTCAGCAGGGCATTCAATTTCTATCAATGGTTTCAATACTATGTTTTGATATATAGTCACTTGAAATATAGTCTGAAATATAGTCACTTGAAAATCACTATATTGCTTCTATAGAAATAATTTTCTGAATTCTCAATCAAGATTAATCTTGATATCTGTGTTAGGACCAGGCTAGGAAATATCAAGATTCCATAATCACAAGAAAATTTATACAAGAAATTAAATACATACTTACTCATAATAGAACATCTTGAGTCAATTATTGTCTTGGTTTTAACCTGCTCATCAAATGGATTATCAAATGTGTGACCAGTATCAATGACAGGCAGGTAATTTTCAGTAACACTAATGTTAGGAAGATATTCTCTGCCTTTTTGGTTAAATAAGCCTTCTCTTTCAAACCTGCCTGAAAGGAAAACCATATGGATAATCTTTCCATTTTGGTATTCTGTTAAGTAGAAAAATAGCCTGGCTGTAAAAATAGGACATATATTTCTCTATTTTGTCAAGAACTTTAGGTATTATGGCTTATTTTTGACAAGAACAGAAAGTGTTTTTGAGAAATATGAAAGTCAAGATGCTGAAACTTATCTTATAATCTTGAGATTAGAATAACATAGTGTTTCAGAATTGTGTGTCTGGGAAGTAAATTATATTTCACAAAGTTTTTAATTGATACAGAGAATCATAGCCTTGCTAAGTTTTGAAATATTTGGGGATTTTTTCAAATTATAGTCTAAAATGTTGTATCACCTCAATGGCTATTTCAATCATTTTTTGAATACCCTACCTATATCTATAATCAAAGGAATTTTATCATCTCTGGATTACAATTTGGAATGTCATGATTTATTTCATAGGACAAAGTTTCTTAAATGAACATTGGCAATGCCATTAACACTTTGCTCTTGAACTCAAGTACAAGTCAGCTCTGTTTAAGTCACCATTTACAGAAGCCAGAAATGGATGTGCAATTAACATGGTGCTGTAAATTAATTAGAGTGAAAGTAGAAGGAAAGGAAGGTGGGCACTTTAGGAAAACAAGAATTTCTGTACCGAATCAGACCAATGGTCCTCCTGGTTTAATATCCAGGAGTCAGCTGCTGTGCATTCTAGTTTCTACAGGTTTAAAAGAAAGGAAAAAGTCTACATAATTCACCAAGACAAGTGTTCCACCTGTGATCTGGAGAAATTTTCTTCTTGACCTCTTTCAAATAATTCCCTAAAGCAGGAGGTTTCAATCCTGCTATAATATTGGTTTAGCTTGAATAGCTCTGGTTATTAATAATTCTTTAAATCAATCCCTACACAAATCAACTAGTCCATCAGAAAGCTATTTATCTATAAAGCTCCTGAATTAATGGTTGAGTATTTCTGATTCTATGATGAAATATTAATTTATGGGTCTAATTCTATACAAGTTCTTGATGGCAAAATCTGCCTACATGTAACCATGCTGGATGAATATCTGCTTCTCTTTCCAAACTCTATTGGATTCTGAAGCTTTTGGAGGAAAAATAAAGTAAATATATGCTAACACTATTGCCAGATTTGTATGTATTCATATTCTACATATGCTGTTTGAATGATAAATAAGCTTGTGTGCTGAAGTTTTTATTTACTTAAATTTATTTGAGAGGCAGAGAGATTCACAGAAAGAAAGAGTGAGTGCCCATCCTCTGAATCATCCTCCACATGCTTGCAATGGCTAGGACTGGGCCAGGGCAAAGTCTGAAGCCAAGAATTCAATTCATGTTCTCCTTCTGAATAGCAGGATTCACATATTTGAGCTATCACCTAAAACCTCCCAGGATGTGAACTGGCAGAAAGCTGGAGTCAAGATTAGAGCCAGGAATAGAATCCAAGTGCTTTGATTTGGATTGTGGGTGTCTTAACTAACATATAAACATCCATTCCAAAGACCAATCTCTATGTGCTGAATTTCTTAAAACCTCACCTGAGGTTTTTCTTGTATGATTCTGTTAAAAGTAAAATGAATCTAAGAGAATGGGATAAAATGATTTAACCTTATCATTTTAATCTTCCATTTATGATCAAAGTACTTGTGACTGCTTTATGTTTCTTAATTATTCTAAAAACCACCTTAATATCGATATTTATAAAATACTGCATTGTTGGTGTAGCTATTTAGTCAAAAACTCTTCAAGAATACAAATGCCTGCAAGCTAAAATCTGAACCATTTTTCTAGGATGTGTCATCTGATAATGTGAAAATAAAAAAAAAAAAAACTAAATATATAACTCCCATAGTGTTGTTTCCTTAAGCCTAGAATCCAAGAAAATCTTTTTTTTCATAGATAGTTGCCTCAGAAGGAGATTTATCCTTTATGTGTATGCTAATTCTGTTCCCTTTCCCTAGTTTTTCCCACTTCCTTCTACGGTTTCGGTTTTGCATTTCCTCTCCTACATAATAATTTTCTTTCAAGTATATGGTGATTTTTGCCTCTTTAATAAGTTGTTCCTTTTTGTTTAGAATGATATTTTTTGTCCTTTATTTTCATGAATATAATGGTTATAAATCCCTTCGGGGAAATAAATTTACCATAATTATTTATTTTTATAGAGCCAAGATCATGTTATAACTCATAATAACAAAGATAAGTGCAAAGAAATCATAGAATCACCATTGACTAACTACTTAGAGTCATTTAAAAATGTTCTTTGAATTTCTGTTCATGCTATCTTGTTAATAATAACTCAGTACTACAAAAGTATGGATTAACTAAAACTGCAAGCATCAAAAAAATGTCAACTGATATTCATCAAAAAATCACACTTATACATACAGGATATATCAACAAAAACCACATGAATATTCTCAACGGACTTTGAACCTTTAGGCTAGGGAATACAAGAATTCCAAACAGAGATATTAGCTATAAAAAAGACAGGAAGTGAAATAGAGGAAGGAATTAATAGGGAATTGTTTCCAATTCCCACTGGCTTGTTTATAAAAAGAGTATCTGAAAAGAAGCTTGAAAATGTGAGTTCCATTATGTTCATTAACTTTACCTGAAGTCAGTGGGTAATGATTAAAAAGTTTTCAATAGGTGAGCAGATATATGAGAGAATAAGACAAAGTTAAAATTGAGACTTAAGATTGTTTCTCGAGTAATGAGGTTATTGTTTAGGGATGATGGGTAATCAGTCTCAAACTCAGGAAGTCCTGGTAAAAACAAAAGAATGAAAAACACAGATGCAAGAGATAATTTTGTATACACAATTTAATGTTCACTGTGAATTAGGACTGGGATATAGGAAGAAAATGAAACAAAAATAACGCTACACTTTTGAACATATTTAAATGTGAATGATGAAATATTTCATTGAAACAGAGTATTTTTCTTCCTTTATGTTAAACAGAATTGCATATGATAGTTGCTGGCATTGTGTCCCAATGGGTTACACTGCTGTTTGTGACACCAACATCCCATATCAGAATTCTGGTTAGAGTCCTGGCTGCTCTACTTCAAATCCACCTCCCCACTAAGTACTTGAGAAGGTATCCCAAGGTGGCACAGACCGTGGGCCCCTGACAAGCATGAGGGAGACCAGAAGGAAGTTCCTAGCTCCTGGCATCAGCTTGATGCAGCTCCAACCATTGTAGTCATCAGGAGAGTAAACCTGCAGATGGAAGAGTTCTTTCTATCATTGTCTTTCCTTCTCATTCTGCCTTTTTAATAAAAATAAGCCTTTTAAAAAAAGAAATGAATGTGATAAACTTGTCTTTAGATTTTAACTACTAGGATTTTTAACTGATACATGCTTGAATATCTTAAAAACTCTAAAACTGGTTCACCTATGTTTAATCTCATGAAAATATGGGCTACATTTTTCAGGTCTGATGAAATATTCTTGCGAAAAGTCAAAAAATTATTTTCTAACAAATATTTCAACTGAAGTGTAATATCTCTATTTAATTATGTAGTAATCCAAATGGGACCCAGAACAATAGCACAAGATGGCCAGTCTTCAAAAGCACTGAACAAAAATATCTGACCTTGAATACAGAGTCACCAAGGATATACACTAAACTACGTGCTCAACAATGCCGATTCTGGACACTATTTTTCCCCAAAGTCTTGGAAATGACAGGTGTGTGTTTTTTATTGCTTGCTTAATTAATATGGTATGGATTATGTAGAAGGAGAAACTGGCAGACTATCCGAGGCACAGAGATACTGTTAATAAACATATATGTTTGACAATCTGGTTACTTGATCTCAATGAATACATGTTATTAAGGAACTTTTATCAGATCAGTATTTTTGAGTGTTTACTATATGAGCATGTGAAGCACTTTAGTAATTAATATAGAGAGAACAAAAATGCAACAATGTGTATGTGGTTTGGTTATTGTTTGTAGCCCTTGTCTACTCCTGAGGAACAGCAGCCTTTCTATTTATTACTTACTGAATTCTTTATTTAGTGGATGATTAAGTTTGAGATTATAAAGTAAATTAAAAGTATGTCATCGCCTCATAGAATGACAGAAGTCCTAAACAGCACTCTAGCCTCAGAATCAGCCCTTAAGGCATTCGAACCGGGCTAAAAAGCCCATGAGAGTTTCACAGGCATGGAAAGCCTGTGAAAAAGGCTTTTTTCACACTGTGGCAAAAAAAAAAAAAAAAAAATGACCTAAATGAAAGATCTCTGTGAGTTAGATCCCAGCAGAAAGAACGGGCCATCAAAGAAGGAGGTACCTTTCTCTGAAGGGAGGAGAGAACTTCCACTTTGACTATGGCCTTGTCTAAATGAGATCAAAGTTGGTGAACTCAAGAGGCTTCCATAGCCCTGGCAGCTCATGACAAGAAACTCGGGTGATTACTGACGTCATAACTAAGAGTGTCAATTGTTAAATCAACAACGGGAGTCATGTGCACCTACTCCCCATGTAGGATCTCTGTCCTTAATGTGTTGTACTATGTGAATTAACGGTAAAACTCAAACAGTATTCTATACTTTGTGTTTCTGTGTGGGTGCAGTCTGTTGAAATCTTTACTTAGTATACACTATGTTGATCTTCTTTATATAAAGATAATTGAAAATGAATCTTGATGAAGAATGGGATGGGAGAAAGAGTGGGAGATGGGATGGTTTTGGGTAGGAGGGAGGTTATGGGGGGAAAAGCCATTATAATCCAAAAGTTGTACTTTGAAATTTATATTTATTCAATAAAAGTTGAAAAAAGTATGCAATCACAAAAATTAAGAGAAAAATAAGGAAAAAAGGATGAGTGAGGAGGAAAGCATAGGAAGAATCATTATGTTCTTAAAGCTGTATTTATGAAATACATAAAATCTATTCCTTTTATATAAGCAAATAAAAATAAATTACAAAAGAAAAATTAAATATAAATTTTCCCAAAGATAAAATGTAGTAGGGAAAATAAAATGTCATGCTACTTCTTATTCAGCCTATCTTTGTTCAACTAACTGGTAGTTAAATTAATATTATTTATATATTAATATTAAATATGGATTCATTTTCAGAGTAACAGAGCCATCCTTTTGTCCTCCTAGCGTGAATAATAATGATGTAACTGACTTAATTTCCCAAGAAGTTCAAAGAGATATAATTTAATGTACATTAGACTACATATATATAATCAATCATGACATGAAACACTAAAATATGAATATTATAGGTAAAAAAAATTTATTGGTTGGTTAGTAAGAATCCCTGATTCCTAGTAAGGGAAAAATTATAAAATTTACATGTTAAAACACATAATCTTAAATGTTCTGAATATATTGCACTCGTAAATATTTATTAAGGGCACAGACATATTACATATCACACACTCATAAGCAGGTTGTAATTTAGTTAACCAATCCATAGGAAGTTATTGCTTACGAGTAAGGAAACATTAATGAAATCAGTTCAGATTATCAAATACTTCCAATATCCATTATTAAGAAAATATTTTAGAGTGATTAAACATGTTTTATCTTCCTTTAATCTTCCCTGTGAAAAATGGCACATAGATCCAATTCACTACCTATTTTTAAAATGCCCAGCTGTTTAGAGCTGAAATAGTTCCTAATATCTATTTTCTGTTTTTATTTTTCAAGTAAAATAGTTGACTTTCAATGATGAGACATAATGCTGCCCAGTTCCTTCATAGCTTGGCAGTCTGCTCACAGCACCCTGTCACATTCAGGTTCTGTGCTGGACATCACAACACAATATATGCTTTTGGTTTATTGTTTGGAGACATTGGGGGATAGTTTCAAACAAATGTGAGAGTCTCAGAGCTTTATTTGATTGTTTAATATGACTTTGAATTCTAAAACATTACCACCAAAATTACAATTATCTTCTCCATCTGTTTGGGAGATGTTTCTCATATACCAGTGTTATATGCATTACCAAATGTTCTATGGCACAATCTATACCCAGAGATGAGCTTCTGCAGCCATTGGCAGAGCAACAAAGCTGCCCTGTGTCCTCTGAGAATGAATAGCAATGAGGTAATGGGTTTAATCTGCCAAGAGACCCAAACTGATAGCATTTAGCATATCATAAACTACATATTCTTAAGCTTTGTTTAAAATGTTCTTATATGAAACAGACTTAATTTGAGCAAAAATGAGTGGAGATAGTAGAGATGATTTTAAATGACTTAATTATGATAAACCACACTGAACTATTTTGGTTCAAGCTACTGTGACATATTGTAGCTGATATGCGTTTATGCCAATAGATAAAATTTCAATACTAATAATTTTTGAAGATGTGCTTCAAAAATATTTCTCCAAATACTTACGTTCCATAAACACATGGACTCTAAAGTTTTGGGGCGGCTGCTACTCCTTCCTAAAAATGTGGAACAACCTTTTAGCTTGAGCAACATTGAGCTTTATAGAAAACCATACCTTGCTCTGGTATGGCTAGTTCCCATGTGGCTGGAAAACAAGATTTTATATTTTATATTTTATCAATAGTTTTCAAGTAATTTACCTCTACAAAGGTTTTCATGTTTAATATGATTTTTATATTGTATCCTAAGTGCATAAAATGATGAAACATCAATAAAGTATCATTAATAATAAAAATATTACATTTAAATAAAATCAATGCATGTTTAGGCTTTGTAAATAATTAATGTAGAAGGATTACATAGATCAAGAACACAAGTCATGACTTAGCTGATATTTTTCGTGTTAATTTTTAAATTTTTAATGTTTTGAAAATTAGTGTTATTCAAATGATGTGGTTTGAAGTGTTCATGAATTTTTAAACGTTTATTTATTCATTTTTATTTACTTGAAAGATTTGAGAGAGAAATCAATCTTCCATACACTGATTCACTCCCCAGAAGAGAGCATCAGCCAGGTCTAGGACAGTCAGAAGCCAGGAGTCAGGAACTGCACTGGGGTCTCCACGTAGAAGACCGGGACTCATTACTTGAGCCATTATCTGCTGCCTCCAAGGTGCTTAAGTATGAAGCTTCATGAGAAGCAGAGGCGGGGCTTCATCCCAGTGGATCTGAGCTGGGACTGAATAGAAGTCTCCCAGGTCTGTGATAGGAACCCTTCAATGCTGCCTATCTCGGTCTGACTTAACAGGAAACCAGTCAGGAGCCACAACCAAGTATTGAATCAGGCAGTCTGATATGGAAGCAATTGTCTTAACAGGTATCAATTTTTATTAAAAACCCTACCTCTGACAATAACATTTTAAAAATATATGGACTGGGGCCAGCGCTGTGGCGCAGCAGGTTAACCTCCTGACCCTAAGCGTTGGCATCCCATATGGGCACTGGTTCGAGACCTGACTGCTCCACTTCCAATCTAGCTCTCTGGTATGGCCTGGGATAGCAGTAGAAGATGGCCAATGTCCTTGGGCCCTTGCACCGGCGTGGGAGATCCGGTAGAGGCTCCTGGTTCCTGGCTTCAGATGGGTGCAGCTCCAGCCCTTGAGGCCAGTTGAGGAGTGAACTATCAGATGGAAGACCTCTCTCTCTCTCTGCCTCTCCTCTCTCTGTATAACTCTGACTTTCAAATAAATAAATAAATATTTTAATAAAAAGTTACAGACTAATAAAAATATTCAAATTATTTATAAAATAAAAAACAAAATTTCCCAATATTAATTAGCATGAAAATATAACAAAAGGAGAAACACAAAATAATTCCTAAACAGCTAGACATTCACATTTATGGTTGTTTTAAGTCAATTATCTTTCCTTGGCAATTACCTCTCATTTCTGAACACATTTTTAGTACAGGTTACCACAAGCATAAGCAGAAATATGATCATTTTACTGTTTTCAGTTTTTCATCAGGTAGTTTAAGAAGCCTTACAAAGCCTACCCTGCAACTAGGAACAGCACTAGCAGCTGGAACTGCACAAATGAGAATGAAAAGACATGCTCATCTACAGTGAGAGGCTAGACTCAGGGTACAGGGCCAAGGAAAGCATCTAAGGCAAGAGGATATTTGCACTGAATTTCAATAGGAAGACAAAGTACAGAGAAGCCAGATAAGCATGGAGCAGGGATGAACTGTCTTATGCATAATGCTATGGAATTTGAATTTTATCTTAAGGAAAACTATTTAGTAACTTCAAATGAGAGACTGACATGTTCTGGTTATTGTTTCATAAATGCAATAGCTTTCACTGCATACATCTTTCAGAATTTGTAAGACTATCATATGGTATAAATGTAACAATTTTGTCCTAAGGTAGTACATTCATCTGAAGAGTTGCTTTTGTTTGCTGGAGTGTTTGTATCAGGATATACTGACATCTTTTCAATTTATTTGTTTTGATATTTTATACCTTACTTATGTTTTATTTATTCTTTGAAAAGTTATTCTGAAAGTATTGTTTTCTTTGAGTGTGAAAGCAGTTAAGAATAAATCATGTTTTTTTTTTTTCATTCAAGACATGATGCAGTAATAAAATACTTCACTAAATATATTATTATGATTTCTTATGTTTCAGTGTGATCCTCTTTAGGAAAAAAACACAGAATTTTAAGTTTTATGAATTTTGAAGAAGTTTCATCTTATTTGTGAACAATCAGTTATATTTACTTTTAGGCCTTGATTGTTACAGTGGCTGCAGTTCATATTGCCACGTTTTTAAAAATTTATATTAATGTTATATACTTGCCCCTGTTATTTTATTTTTAACTTTTCTGAATTATTTTAAATGTATTAATTTTTTACCAGATTTGTTTATTTATTTGAAAGGCAGAGTTACACACACACACACACACACACACAGAGAGAGACAGAGTCAGAGAGAAAAAGACAGATGGAGAAAGATCCTCCTTCTACTGGTTCACTCCCCAGTTGGCCACAACAGCCAGGAAAAAGGCAGGAGCCTGAACTTCCATCCAGGTCTCCACCTGTGTAGCAGGAGTCCAAGTCCATGTGCCATCTTCTTCTGCTTTCCCAGGCACATTAGCAAGAAGCTGGATCAGAAGTGGAGCATCCAGACTGGAGCAGGTGCTAAATGGGATGCCCGTGAGGCAGACATCAATTTACATGCTATGCCACAATGCCGGCCCCAAAATGGCAAATTATTAGACATATTTGTTATATCCAAAATTTTGCTCTTTCTGAAATTTCAAATCCTTATTTTGTGCAAAAACATTTAAAGCAACATTTAATTATCATATATTGAGTGTAAAAGTGGATCCTTTGGGATTAGCATATTTCCTCTACATTTCCAGCTTTGTGATGCTTTAGAGGACCTCTATTATTCACAAAATGATTATAGTCATTGACCTTTTAAAATTATTTTTACATAAAAGTGGAACATTTTACATAAATCCTCAAATACTTGTCCAATGTCCATGCATTATGAACTTTTCGAGCCTAAATATATTCAAAATATATGAATATATTAAGATGCCTTAAATATTTTGACTTTTATATAAGTTTAAAATGAGTCACTACATTGTGTTTTCCAAATTAATATCTTATAAAGCTATAATTAATTTCAAAGATTTCTAACTAAAATGTGTATATTTTTAAAAATTGCTAGTCCCTATTTTTGGTTTATGTAAAATTAAAATTTTGTCTGCAGTTTAATGACTGTGGCTCTGCATCCTAAAATATTAATAGTAAAATAAACTGAAAGAGTATAAAATCATTTTAGATTTAAGTAATTTAAATTATTTTCTAGCCTCTTCAGATTTAGTTATTTCAAGTACATAAATATGTGGTTAAAGTAATAATTGGGGAATTTCTAATATTTAAATACTTTATTCTTATTTATTTCAAATGGATAAGTGTTAAAATTCTTTAATACAGAGACCTTTTTTATTTCACTGCTTCACATTATTTCTGAATATTGCAAACTATTTGAAAGTGGAAATTGCCTTAGTAATTTTTATATTGGACAAAGCAATTAATAAAGCACTTTCACTTAGTTGGTGGTTGGACAAATGTCTAACCATGGTTTGGAATTACAATATATTGTAATGAATGTAAAATCCAAATGGAATGACAATTACAAAAGTATCCCTGTGCATTAATAAATATTCATAAATAAATATTTTTATCAGAAATAATACTTTGCTGTGTAATGAGATGCATTAAGTGAGGTTTTTTTGTGTTAAGCAAAGTCAAGATGATGAATATCTATGTGTTTTTCTGGAAACTAAAGACAATATTTCTAATGTAATTTGACATAATGCAATATATAGACTTTTTTATTTATATATTTATGTGCTTCATATACATTATACAACTTACTTGTTATTTGTATTTTCACATAATACACATATGAAATGAAAGTATTTCTAGAAAAAAGCTAAAAAATAATTAAAGAAGATAAAAAATAATGAATAATAAAAAAATTGCTATGTAGTATATTAGGAGAAAATGGCATCTGTAATCAAAATTATTTTTCAAGTAATATAAACAGAGATTAAAATTTAGATTAATGTATTTTATATTCCATGTTTTACAGGAAATATTGATGAAGCAGAACAAGAGTGGAAAGCAGGATTCCATCGTTGGAACAATTACATGATGGACTGGAAAAATCAATTTAATGACTACACTAGCAAAAAAGAAAGCTGCGCAGGATTCTAATTAGTAGAATAGCCCTTTATGAAAAGTTCATAAAAGTAGATCAAAGCAAAACACTCTTACACATATACTAAGAAAGCTTTTATACAGCTGAAACAAAAATTCCGGAATTATATTGATTCCTCACATCTTTCACTTTGTATTTTACCTAGCATTTAAAATCCAAATGACTATAATATGTTTAATTAAAATTCACAGCATAGGCCGGCTCCACGGCTCACTAGGCTAATCCTCCACCTGCGGCACCGGCACCCCGGGTTCTGGTCCCGGTTGGGTTGCCAGATTCTGTCCCGGTTACTCCTCTTCCAGACCAGCTCTCTGCTGTGGCCCAGGAAGGCCATGGAGTTTGGCCTAAGTGTTTGGGTCCTGCACCCGCATGGGAGACCAGGAAGAAGCACCTGGCTCCTGGCTTCAGATCGGCACAGCATGCGGGTGGTAGCGGCCTTTTGGAGGGTGAACCAACAGAAGGAAGGAAGGAAGACCTTTCTCTCTGTCTCTCTCTTACTGCCTAACTCGTCCTGTCAAAAAAAAAAAAAAAATCCCAACATAAAATTCAACAATTAATTGTGCACACATGAAATTGAAGTGCTGCTTCAAATTCTCCTGAATAACTTTAAGACTGATTTCCTCTAAAGTAGCAGTGTTCGGTTTTTAGTCTCATTTATATTTTCACTACTATACATGAAGTATATCCTTTTAAAATGAATGACACCTTGAAGAACAGGCATTATAGTGAAGTGGAATATGCTATTGCTTGGAATGCCCACGTTCTACATTACAGTGTGGTTTGGAGTCCTGGTTCCTTTGCTTCCAATCCAGCTTCTGCCAATGCATCCTGGGAGACAACAGATGATGGCTGATGGTCTTGGGCCCCTGCCACTTAAGTGGAAATCCTGATTCCTGGCTTTGACTTCACCCAGCCCCTGCCGTTTTGGTGATTTAGAGAGTGAACCAGAGAATTGATGATCTCTCTCTGTCTCTTCCTCTATGTCTCTCTGCCTTTGAAGTACATGAAAATAAATAAGCAAACATTTTTAAATGAGCTAAACCTTGAAACACTGGATACTCAGTCATTTGGAAATATCGTATGATAGAAAGAAAATGTTGCTACCAAGAGACAAGATAAAAAGGAATATATTCCTGGAATCTATGTTTTAAAATATGTATGCCTATGATTCTCAAATTCTATTCATTTTAAGTCTTGCTCTTTCTCATCTCCATCTGCCAACTCTTCACAAACATTGTTTATATGTGAATTACCCTTCCTATGATTCAAAATAGATAGTGGGGAAAATTTTAAAGTTGGAAGTTTTTACATCTGGCTTGGGGTGACATTTCCTAGAACCCAAAATATTAGGGTTTTAATAAAGACAATTCTCAGCTCCTGAAGAGAAATGATTATACTCTTTGCTACAAACTGTATTATTTTTATAATTTAAAAAATTACATTGCTCATTTCCAAACCTGTCAAGGATACACGTAGTATTGAATAAATTCACTGAGTCGTTCCCTAAAGGGTAGCAGTAAAGGGGTTATTACTCAAGTGCTAAACAGGCTCCTGGATGGAATTGTAGGCTCCTGATTGGTCTGGCACAGCCCTGCTTATTGGAGATATTTTGGGATGAAGCAGTGGATGGGAGATCTCTTTATCTGACTCTCTCTGTTCGTCTCTCTGTTTTTCTGTCTTCAGATAACAACAATAACAACAACAACCAAAAATTAATTGTTATTTATCAATACAATCCTGGTGGAGTATTCAGTCTATGAAAGAATATACCAAAGATCACCAGATTTAAAATGAGATACACATGTGTATAAATGCAAATTTATCTACATTTATATATACACGATTCTATTGATGTCCAGCATGGGATTATAGTGAATTCACTAACTGGCACTGTGGTAAGAAAAAAGTGAAAATTTTTTAGTGCTAGAAAATAAGGGTGCATGATGGCCATAGATGGTCTTCAAATTAAGCATAAAAGCTAATATGATACAGTTTATAAACATCATATATATTATTATGTATATTTCTGTAGTTAGTTATAAAATAATACTAAAATATAAATTACATATATATTATATTGAAGGCACATGTAATAAACAAACAACAGCAACTGTTTTGATGCCATTGGCTAGTTCTGGTGTAATTGTAAAACACAATTTACAAATTAATTGAAGTGAGAAATATCACATCAATTATATTGTTAGAAGTTGAGTAAATAATAATGTTAACCCAAATACAAAGAAAGTATTGCAGGTATAAAAGCAACAAAAATGATAAAACCTCCATGTAGTCACATCACAAATCTAATAGTATATTCAGAAGTGAACACATCCAGTACAGACAATTTGTTGTACAAGTGTGGGGAAGGGAGAGACAAGGGGAAATTTTCTTCAACAATCAGCCCTTAGCTTTCATGAAGTCAATCTAAATCTCTCTTGTCCCTGTTCCAAAATCCCATCATTAGAGTAACCAGTTTTTGAAATTATAGGCAGCAGCAGTGGTCTGATGATTTTACAGGTGAGTTCCAACACAAATAGTCATGAGTGTACAACACACAGACGTACGTCTCACCAAAAGAAGACTGGTTTTCTTCCTCCAGACTTTGCTCATTTCCTCAGCTCAATTAAACACTTTATGATTACTGTAAAGATGAACAAACTTGAATTTCCAAGACATTTAGCTACCAATACCTTGACATTGTGAGATTATCCCTGTAACTCAGTTAACCACTTTCACAATGCTGTCACTGTGTTTTGTGACTGTTAAGTAGATGAATGGGGCTATATATAGCAGAGCTCAGTTGTACTATGTGGGAAGAAAGTCACATCGTAAATCTTTGGGGAAACTGGAGGAAGCATGAAAAAAAAAAGTAGAAATGAGGATGAGAAGAAACAGAAAGAGGAGGAGGGGCAACAAAGGAGGAGGAGGAGAGACATCATCTCAGTCATCTGGAACTGAATTCATCTAAATTGACCATCTAGTCACCTCAGGGTATCAGCATAGAAGAAGTGATGAGATAAAAAAATATATAAATAGATAGATCATAGATAGAGATAATTATATATATGGATATTTTCACAAGCTATACATGGGATATTTAATTCAGTGATTATCAATCTTCAGTCTTCACTACACATTAGAATCCCCAGGGACAACTGTCGCTTGCTACACCTGCAGCCAAATACATTAGGATAGCTGCACCTGAACACTAGGATGATTTCCCCAGGGTGAGGCTTATCCATTGCATTCCAGATGTGCTGACCCCTGTGATTTCCCCAATTTGTGGCAGTAGGGGACTGATTTCATGTTCTCCCCTGAAAAAAAAAAAAAAATCAAATCTCTGTGAGTCTACTCTGTGTTTCTAAATCCATTCTGATTTATTTGTCTATGACAAGTGTTAGGCATCTTGACAATTTAAGTGCAAGTTTTTCCCTAAATGAGAATTTATACATTCTAGATTAGTGGATCCCAAACTTTGTTACATTACAGAATTGACTAGGAAGTTATTAAAATTCCAAAATGCATGCCACATACAACATAGTAATCAAATCACCACATGAAAGTAGAAGCTAAATATTAATATTTCTTAATGGTATCTACTAGGTTCCAAAATGTAACAAATTTTGGAAACCAATGACCCATTCTAGATGGTTAATACAAAGAGTTGAGATAATATCCATATGGGTTTAATAACCATGAGCAAACAACTATAAAATCTGCAATTTTACATGAGAAAGAACTCTATTTACTTCTGATATTTAGAAACTAGTTACTTTTCCATAAAATGGTTTGTAACACAGATTACCAATCATTAAAGATAAATTTCTGACAAATGTTTTTTTTTTCTAAAATGTCTACATGAGAAAATTGCTATATCAAGATATCTTTTTTTAATTTTTACAATAAAAATGTGCTTTAAGGAGAGGTATGCTTGAAAATAAGATTTAGTGAAGTACATTTATAATATTATGTGATTATTTGTATAGCAGTAATTATTAGAGATGGTCATCGTTTTAATTGAGCTAATTGGGAATCAGATAAATAGACTATAATTAGTGGTGATAATGTATATACTAAATATAAGGAATTATAATTTTAATTCCTATTTTTGAGTATATTTATCCTGTAAATATACTGGCTGTCTGTGAACTCTCAAAAGTACAAGTAATCCTTTTGCCAGGCTTGTAAAGCAACATTGCTAATACCAATTACTTAACTATTATTAAACTATGGCAGTCAGTACTAGTGATTGCTTTTCATCTTAGAAGTACTAGCAGAAGGTTTTTGCTTGAGGCAATTATAGTATTACCTTGTTTTCCTGAAAAGAGACCTTCCATTCTCCTTTAATTGTTTTTATATCAATGGTTGAGAGAAAAGAAATAGAAAAAAAAAAAAAACTTCTCACAGATGTCTCTAAAGAGTAAAATGTAAACATGCATTAGAGAAAGTTAAACATTTTAAAATTATTGCAATAAATATTTAAAGAGCTCTGTCTACCTAGCATATCTATCTACTTACCTATCTATCCACCCACCTGTCTATTCAGGATATCCATTCCCAATTTTATCAATCAAGAGAAGAAAAAACAAAAACAAAAACACCAAAAACGGGAATTTGCTAGTCTAGTCTATTGAAGACAATCTGGATTGTAAAATCAGTTATTGGCATTGAGAAAAACGGCCTTAATATTCCATTCATTATGCTTTACACACACTTTTACCCAACTATAAGATTTTGAATTCTCTTTTCTTTGAGCAGTTTCTTTACGAAATTGTTTTTGTACAATATTTGCCTGACCTTTCAAAACACATGTAGATCTTCTTGTGTCATCTTGTAAATTTCACTGTCCAAAATCTGGGGCATTTCTCAAAGACTTGGGAGCTATCATTTTGAAACATAGTGTTGGTACAAGAGAGTGCACCTGCCTCCCCATGCCAGTGAGGAGATAGAAGCCTACCTAACTTCGGTAGGCATCAACTAACAGGCATGGATGGCCTCATCTAAGGGAAAAAAAAAGGAAATATTTCCAGTCACAGAAATATTGCCCCCATTGGTTAATGCTCCCAATAGTGTGTCACCTTACTTTTCCACCAGCTCACTCCAACACTTTTTTCTCCAGAAAATTGAATTCTTTCTCTCTTTTCCATTGTGATGGTATTGAATAAAGTCTGCCTAGCCTATTTAATGTTGTGAAATGCAATTTTTTATGTTGACACTAAGTGCAATCCAACACTTCTGCAAGTGCCTATCATACACTCCAATTTCCACCAACCTCCTGGAATCATATCAAGGAAATACAAATATTTATCTGCAGCAGATTTCCTTGAAAAATTGTGAGTCTCTTCATAACCCAAATAAAAGTAGTAGCAGAACTTGAAATTATAATAAGTGTTGAATACCTAATTTTTAGTGATTTTTTCTAATATTTTTCAAGTCCCAGGAATATAATAATCTTAATACATGTTAATCTCCAGCTGTCAACAATTTTATTTTTTAGTACTTTTTGATGTTTTCATTGTTTGTTTCTCTTTCCCTTTGACATCAAATTTATATCTTCACAATTCTGTTGGTTTCCTGACAGACTGAGTCTGAACAAGAAATAATTATTTTTGTAAAAAGAATTTCCTATATTTTCTTTTCTTCTCTACTTTTTCCCTATTATCTCTTTTCTTTTCCCATTAATGCAAAGGAATAATTGGGGATCCTTGTGATGTGATATTGGACTCACAGGGGATTATACCTGTATATTGATCATATATATAATGCAAATTTCCCTTATTATCTCTATTTCCTTTGAGAAGTCCAAGTAAATACCATTCTCTCAGAGAAAGATTTATCAAGAGGCTTATATAATTTAAACATCAGGGGTCCTCACTGCAAGGATCCTGTCAAAGGCAATATGTTATTTGGTATTGTTATTTTACTTTATTTTTCTTAAAGAGAGTTCTAAGTAGGATATGAGTTTCAGGATGTGTGAATTTTTGTTTAGCTGTTTTCCCAAACATTGGCATGAATGTGCCTTTAGTCTCTTGCTGAAATAACATTCTTGATCATAGAGGATGTTTCCTTTCCCATTGCTCTCAAAAACATTGCCACGATTTTTTTTTTCAGTTGAAATGCGTTATCTTCGTTTTCACCATTATAATATGATAATTCTGAAGTCACTAACTTTGTGTAAGGTAATAAGTGAGTGAAAATCTCAGATGTTAATATCTGCAGTGGCATTTCCATATTAAACCAAATGTGTGCATAATATTCTCTTTGGTAAGTAAATTTAACATTTTCTCATAACCATGAAGAATAAAATTTTAATAATCTCCCATGGAGTTGTCTCTTTGAAGTCATGTGCAAAATATTAAATGAAAATTCTATCAGAACGTTATTTCTCTTTTTCGATTTCAGAAGCTTTCAAAGATAGGAAGAGGGTATCATGCCTCATTCTTAGTTCAGTTGATATTATAGCCAGTGAGAGAGGCAGCCTTTTATTTATCTTACTGAGAATTGAAGGTTACCAAGGAAAGCCTCAAATCCTAAAGACTCAATGCTCTTCATTTTTTGTTGGCATTGCTGTAGGGAATTCCACTACTTCACATGCATTATCCAGTGCCTGAGATACATTTCAGTTTTTCCTAAGACTCTTTTTAACTGCCTTCACAAATTCTTCTTATATGTCACTATCTCACAAAAGAACAAATTTGTATGAGGAAGTCCTAAAGACCATTATTTAATTTATCACATCACTATCAATCTAATGCATAAAATGTCAATTGTTTAGTAATGTGCATCGAGTTTGGATCCCACCTAAAAAATGTCACCAGTGAAATCTTTTGTGACATATTCCTATTTAAGTTGCTTCATCTATACAGATCTTAGAGGCAATTGTTGAGGAGGATCCTTTTATTTTATTTTATTTTATTTTATTTTATTTTATTTTATTTTATTTTATTTTTGACAGGCAGAATTAGTGAGAGGGAGAGACAGAGAGGAAGGTCTTGCTTCCTTTGGTTCATCCCCCAAATGGCCACTACAGCCGGCCCGCTGCGCCAATCAGAAGCCAGGAGCTGGGTGCTTCTCCCTGGTCTCCCATGCAGGTGCAGGGTCCAAGCACTTGGGCCATCGAGGAGGATCCCTTTAAACAAGATAAGAAGATAGGTATTTTGGTGCTCTATGTTCAAAACAATTTGAGGAAATACATATGTGTGTGTTCGTGTACACATACACACACACAGACATTTTCAATTAATGTCTACTTTTTCTGCTTTATTTAGCTATAAATATTGCTAATAGTTCTACATTTAAAACTGTGGGGAGCAACCCGGACTGGACTGAGTTACTGGAATTAAGACTTATTCTATGCATCTGCTCTCCCACAATATGGCGCTGGGAGAGGAGAAAACAGCTTCTACGCAGCTGCCTCTTGCCAACTTGAGTGATGACCTCCAGGAGCTGATCCTGCTCCTGATTGGAGGAGAGCAGCGTACTCGGCGTGTGGGCAGCCAAGTTAGGATTGGCGGAGGAGGACTATAAAGGAGGAGAGAGACGGCATGAACCAGGAACATCTAACGGGAACATCTAAGGGGAACACCTGTGCAGCCCCCGAGAGAGCCGGCCGGCGGTGTGCCGCTCCCCTGCGGAAGTGGGGAAAGTGGCAGGGGGAACCGCCCTTCCACGGAGGTGGAAGGGTCAGTAGCCAACCCGGGAAGAACCAGCAGCAAACCCGGGGAGGGCCAAGCAGACAAAAGAACAGCGCAGGGTCCTGTGTCGTTCCTCCACGAAGAGGGGGAGCGACATAATGGTGCCGTGACTCGGATATGAAGCCTAGGCAGGGTTTAGTGTCGTTCCTCCATGAAGACGGGGAGCGACAAAAACTATATCTGATGAAAAATCTCTTACAACATGAAAAAATAAAAAAATATTATAATCTTACTGAGATGCTCTATTTTTTGTGTATGTCCATAAAAATGTTAGTGAATATTTTTACTTCACAAAATACATACATATATACTGTATATACATATATATACCCACATATTCCAAAATATGTCTTATGATATACTAGAACAATTTTTCCTTTTCCATTTAGCACATGTTGTTATTTTTTCATGTATAATTTTAGACACTAGGGATACAGCAGTGTTTAAAACAGAAAACAATTCTGCTCTCATGGAGCTCACATTCTGGCAGGATGGGATACGCAATGAATAAATAAACAACCATATCATTATATAAAATTTTGACCATGAATCAAATACAGAAAAATAAAGAAATGAAATTCACCTTGGGTCAGGCTTGTCTGGTGATTTAACAGATGTGTCAGCCCAACCAAAAGGTACTGAGAAAGTAAACCGTGCAAGTTCCCAAGGGATATCACAAATGAGAAGACTTCGGGCAGGCCTTCTTTGCATTTATAATATTAGGGAGCAGCAAGGTGGTCTTTGACTGTAATAGGAAACAAGAGAAGATGGGAGATGAGATTCAGGAGGAGAAAAATGGACAGATTGGAAACCATCATTGGGCTTCAAGCAAATGACTAACATGATTATGATCACACAATGTTTTAGAAAGATCAGTCTGGCTCCCTGCAGGCTGAAATAGAGTGGTGAGGAGGGGAAACATGAGAGTGCAGAAAGCTGCTTAACTATTTTAGGCAAGTAGTCTGAGGTAGGTAATAGCCTGGAATGACAGATATATTTCTGGTATTTTGAAAACAACAGCTAACAAAATTTATCATAAATAGAAAAGTAGGTAATGAATATTAAGACTCTCTGATTAAATGATATGCTAGGTGGAGTTATCCACTTCTAAGAAAGGGAACACTATTGGTGCAGATCTAAATAAAGAAACACAAGATTGGTTCATGCTTGCTAACTTTCATGTGCTGATCAGATATCTAAGAAAGAGAGGATACTTTGCTAAATGAAAATATAGTTGAAAGGAGTCATCTATATTAGAGACACAAACTGTATTTTAGCATAAAGGTGGTGTATAAACTATAGGACTGACAGAGATTACCCAGCGATTGAATGTCAGCCTGGACTCAGCAGAGGCATCACTCAAGAGTCCAGATTCAATTTCATGCCTAAGCCTCTGTTAAGCTTTCAGTACTCCTTGCTAGACTTTTATGAAACATCTCAATGAAGTGTACTACTTTAACTCAACTCTTATCTTTAATTCAGATATTTCGTTCTTCAGGAAATGTAAGCTAAACCTTTTGATAGCTAAGAAAACCTTTTGGTTGGTTTCCTTCACAGGTAAACAAACAAACAAAAAAACACTACTAATTGAATGTATTTTTAATATTCATTTATTTGAAAGGCAGAGTGACAAAGAGAGGGAAAGACAGAGAGAAAGAGATCTTCAATTCCTGGTTTACTCTACAAATGACCATTAACAGCCAGGTCTGGTACTGGCCGTAGACAGGAGCCAGAAGTTTATGTGGGGTCCAGGCACTCAGGCCACTTTCACTTATTTCCTAGGTGCATTACTAAGGAGTTGGATCAAAAGCAGAGCAGCAAGAACTCAAACCAGAGTTCTGATATGGCACACAGCATTGTAGGCAACAGCTTAAACCACTACTCCACAATGTCTGCCCATGAATTT